GGGGGGGGGTGGGGGTCGGGGCGGGGGGTGGGGGTGGGGGTCGGGGCGGTGGGGGCGGGGGTGGGGCCGGGGCGGGGCGGACCTGTGATGGCCCTGCTGGCCTGCAGGATGAGGGTGCGGAGGTGTTGGAGCATCGCAGGGGTGGGTGGGGGTGGGGGTCGGGGCGGGGGGTGGGGGCGGGGGGTGGGGCCGGGGCGGGGCGGGGCTGACCTGTGATGGCCCTGCTGGCCTGCAGGATGAGGGTGCGGAGGTGCTGGAGCATCGCAGGGGTGGGTGGGGGTGGGGGGCGGGGGGGTGGGGGTGGGGGTCGGGGCCGGGGGGTGGGGGCGGGGGGTGGGGGCCGGGGCGGGGCTGACCTGTGATGGCCCTGCTGGCCTGCAGGATGAGGGTGCGGAGGTGCTGGAGCATCGCGGGGGCCGACAGGATGTCACCCACCACAAACTGTGTGAGGGGGTGACTGCCCACCACACGCTTCAGCTGCACCGTGTAATACGCCCCATCAGCGTCCACCGCCGTCAGCCGTGTCCTCTCCACCTTCAACCCCACCATCATGTCAAACTCATTAGGCCTGCTGATCTACAGGGACACACACGCGTGTTAAACACACACACATTAGGCCTGCTGATCTACAGGGACACACACGCGTGTTAAACACACACATTAGGCCTGCTGATCTACAGGGACACACACGCGTGTTAAACACACACACATTAGGCCTGCTGATCTACAGGGACACACACGCGTGTTACACACACGCACATTAGGCCTGCTGATCTACAGGGACACACACGCGTGTTACACACACACACATTAGGCCTGCTGATCTACAGGGACACACACGCGTGTTAAACACACACACATTAGGCCTGCTGATCTACAGGGACACACACGCGTGTTACACACACACACATTAGGCCTGCTGATCTACAGGGACACACACGCGTGTTAAACACACACACATTAGGCCTGCTGATCTACAGGGACACACACGCGTGTTACACACACACACATTAGGCCTGCTGATCTACAGGGACACACACGCGTGTTAAACACACACACATTAGGCCTGCTGATCTACAGGGACACACACGCGTGTTAAACACACACACATTAGGCCTGCTGATCTACAGGGACACACACGCGTGTTACACACACACACATTAGGCCTGCTGATCTACAGGGACACACACGCGTGTTAAACACACACATATTAGGCCTGCTGATCTACAGGGACACACACGCGTGTTACACACACACACATTAGGCCTGCTGATCTACAGGGACACACACGCGTGTTAAACACACACACATTAGGCCTGCTGATCTACAGGGACACACACGCGTGTTAAACACACACACACATTAGGCCTGCTGATCTACAGGGACACACACGCGTGTTAAACACACACACATTAGGCCTGCTGATCTACAGGGACACACACGCGTGTTAAACACACACACACATTAGGCCTGCTGATCTACAGGGACACACACGCGTGTTAAACACACACATTAGGCCTGCTGATCTACAGGGACACACACGCGTGTTAAACACACACACATTAGGCCTGCTGATCTACAGGGACACACACGCGTGTTACACACACGCACATTAGGCCTGCTGATCTACAGGGACACACACGCGTGTTACACACACACACATTAGGCCTGCTGATCTACAGGGACACACACGCGTGTTACACACACACACATTAGGCCTGCTGATCTGCAGGGACACACACGCGTGTTACACACACACACATTAGGCCTGCTGATCTACAGGGACACACACGCGTGTTAAACACACACACATTAGGCCTGCTGATCTACAGGGACACACACGCGTGTTACACACACACACATTAGGCCTGCTGATCTACAGGGACACACACGCGTGTTACACACACACACACATTAGGCCTGCTGATCTACAGGGACACACACGCGTGTTACACACACACACACATTAGGCCTGCTGATCTACAGGGACACACACGCGTGTTACACACACACACACATTAGGCCTGCTGATCTACAGGGACACACACGCGTGTTACACACACACACATTAGGCCTGCTGATCTACACACACACACCCAGACACACACACAAACACAGACACACACACAGACACATACACACACACACAGCACTCACACACACAGATACACACTCACACACACACAGACACACACCCAGACACACACACACAGACACACACACAGACACACACCCAGACACACACACACACACACACAGACACACACACAGACAGACACACACAGATACACACACACACACAGTACTCACACACACAGTGCTCACACACAGCACTCACACACACAGACACACACACACAGACACATACAGACACACACACATACAGACACACACACAGACACACACACACACAGCACACACACCAACTAACAGCATCAACTCACACAGCACACGCGCACACACACACAAAGCACACATTGCTCACACACAGCACAGCGTTCACACACATACACAGTTGCACATAACACTGCTCACACAGCGCACACACAGCGCACACACAGCGCAGCATTACATACAACAGCAGCACAGAGCACAGTAAGAAGGACAAGTTATATTTACACAGCGCAGAACCTTTCACCTCGAGAGGAGGTCCCAAGGTCTGGACAGTCGGGTCAGACTCCAGCTTCCCTCGCCCACCCAGGTGGGGGGCATTGCCAGCCTCCCTCGCCCACCCAGGTGGGGGGCATTGCCAGCCTCCCTCGCCCACCCAGGTGGGGGGCATTGCCAGCCTCCCTCGCCCACCCAGGTGGGGGGCATTGCCAGCCTCCCTCGCCCACCCAGGTGGGGGGCATTGCCAGCCTCCCTCGCCCACCCAGGTGGGGGGCATTGCCAGCCTCCCTCGCCCACCCAGGTGGGGGGCATTGCCAGCCTCCCTCGCCCACCCAGGTGGGGGGCATTGCCAGCCTCCCTCGCCCACCCAGGTGGGGGGCATTGCCAGCCTCCCTCGCCCACCCAGGTGGGGGCATTGCCAGCCTCCCTCGCCCACCCAGGTGGGGGGCATTGCCAGCCTCCCTCGCCCACCCAGGTGGGGGCATTGCCAGCCTCCCTCGCCCACCCAGGTGGGGGGCATTGCCAGCCTCCCTCGCCCACCCAGGTGGGGGGCATTGCCAGCCTCCCTCGCCCACCCAGGTGGGGGGCATTGCCAGCCTCCCTCGCCCACCCAGGTGGGGGGCATTGCCAGCCTCCCTCGCCCACCCAGGTGGGGGGCATTGCCAGCCTCCCTCGCCCACCCAGGTGGGGGGCATTGCCAGCCTCCCTCGCCCACCCAGGTGGGGGGCATTGCCAGCCTCCCTCGCCCACCCAGGTGGGGGGCATTGCCAGCCTCCCTCGCCCACCCAGGTGGGGGGCATTGCCAGCCTCCCTCGCCCACCCAGGTGGGGGGCATTGCCAGCTCCCTCGCCCACCCAGGTGGGGGGCATTGCCAGCCTCCCTCGCCCACCCAGGTGGGGGGCATTGCCAGCCTCTCCCTGTCCAGTCTCTCTCTCTCCCGCTCTTTGTGGATTCCTGTAGCTCAGTGGTTAGAGCACTCGCTTTGCAAGTGAGAGACCTGAGTTCAATTCCAGGCAGAGGGCGAAACCTTGGGCAAGTTTCCTTACTCCACACAGAGCCTAATAATAATCCTCCAAAACCAAAAACAATAATAAATTGGTCATTTTCAACCCACGACTGTTTGTGGGACATTGCTGTGCGCAATTGGCTGCCGCGTTCGCCCACAAATATACAGTCACTTCACTTTACAGTGTGTTCTGTGAAGCGCTTTGGGACGTCCTCCCGACGTGAAAAGCGCTATATCAAATGCCAGGATTATTATTATTATTATTTCTCACTCTCTCTCCCGCTCTCTCTCTCTTTCCCCCACTCTCTCTCTCCCGCTCACTCTCTCTCTTTCCCCCACTCTCTCTCCCTCCCGCTCACTCTCTCTCTCTCCCGCTCTCTCTTTCTCTCTCCCGCGCTCTCTCCCCCCCCACGTGTGCTCTCTCCTCTCTCTCCCGCTCTCTCTCTCTCCCCCCGCGCATGCTCTCCTCTCTCTCCCTCTCTCTCTCCTGCTCTCTCTCCCGCGCTCTCTCTCTCCACCCCACGTGTGCTCTCTCTCTCTCTCTCTCCCCCCGCGCATGCTCTCTCTCTCTCTCCCACTCTCTCTCTCTCTCCTGCTCTCTCTCCCGCGCTCTCTCTCCCCCCGCACGTGCTCTCTCTCTCTCCCGGTGTCCTGGCCGACAATCCCCCAGATACAATCACTCACTCACACTGTAACTGTTTGTGAGACGTTGCTGTGTGCAAGTTGTCTGCGGGTTTGCTCACAAACCTCACAGTCACTACACTTGATAGCAATTTCCAGTGACACTATCAAATGGCAGGATTATTATTAATATACAATGAATAATAATAATAATCCCTGATATTTTGATACAGCTCCTTATCACGTCTTCGAGATATCTCAAAACGCTTCACAGGATGTACTGTAAAGTGTAGTGACTGTAGGTGAAACACAGCAGCCAAATTTGTGGGCGAAATGCGGCAGCCAATTAGCACAGCAGTGTCCCACAAATAGTCGTGGGTTGAAGTGACCACAGTATTTTTTGAAAGGATTATTAACCCCGGAAAAGCAATCCACTGATCGACTAACAACCAAGTTCCTACTTCCTGCTGATGAACAGAGGTGTGTGGAGTAAGAAAACTTTCCCAACATTTCACCCTCGGAATCAAACCCAAGTCCCTCAGTTGCAAAATGCAAAACGCTGCAGACGCTGAGAATCTGAAACGAAACAGAAAGGACTTTCCCAGCGACTTCGCTTTGTGTTTCTCTCACTTGCGAGAGCTCCAACCACTGAGCTACAGGACTGCACAGAAGAGGGTGTGGGGTACATTGGGGGACGGGGGGAGGGGGGGTCGTGGGATGGGGAGGGGTAGGGGGTAGGAGGGGCTGGGGGAGGGGGCAATAGTGTGGACAAACCTTCACAGACTCGTAGTAGCTGCCGCTGGGAATCTTCCTGATGTTGTGGAAACACGAGTTGGGTTTTCCCCGAATGTGCTCCAGTAATTTGCTCACAACCTCATTCACGCAATTTGCTGCTTCTGATCGTTCCTCTTTGCGAATTTTCAGCCCATCAACCACTTCTCTCAGCCTCTGGCACAGGTTTGTGTCCCTGTCCTCTCCCTCACCAGACCTGTCCACCTTCCCAGCTTTGCCCTTAGCCACAACCTCGTTACCAGCCTTGCCCTTTGCCACAATATTCCTGTTGCCAGCCTTGCCCGTTGGTCCGATCTCCTCGTTGCCAGCCTTGCCCGTTGGTCCGATCTCCTTGATGCCAGCCTTGCCCGTTGGTCCGATCTCCTCGATGCCAGCCTTGCCCGTTGGTCCGATCTCCTCGTTGCCAGCCTTGCCCGTTGGTCCGATCTCCTTGATGCCAGCCTTGCCCGTTGGTCCGATCTCCTTGATGCCAGCCTTGCCCGTTGGTCCGATCTCCTTGATGCCAGCCTTGCCCGTTGGTCCGATCTCCTTGATGCCAGCCTTGCCCGTTGGTCCGATCTCCTTGATGCCAGCCTTGCCCGTTGGTCCGATCTCCTTGATGCCAGCCTTGCCCGTTGGTCCGATCTCCTTGATGCCAGCCTTGCCCGTTGGTCCGATCTCCTTGATGCCAGCCTTGCCCGTTGGTCCGATCTCCTTGATGCCAGCCTTGCCCGTTGGTCCGATCTCCTTGCTGCCAGCCTTGCCCGTTGGTCCGATCTCCTCGTTGCCAGCCTTGCCCATTGGTCCGATCACCTTGATGCCAGCTTTGCTTTTCACCACAACCTCCTCATTACCCGCTCCCCCACTGTTCCCATCCTCACTGGTGCCCTGTTGTCCTGCACTGTTCCTGGCGTTGTTCCTATTGCCCCTCTTGCGGATGTTGGCAGCCCCCTGGGTCCTGGCCATCTCCTGTGGGGGTGCCTGACTGGGGTTAACCCCCGAACTGCCTGGGGGTTTGCCCTTGCCCACCCCCTTGCCCTCTCCCCGCCTGCTCATGTGGGCACCGAGGGTGTCTGATACTGGGCTGCGTGTAGACTGTGACAGGAAGGGAGGGGAGTGAGCAGGAGATTTATACACAGGAAATGTGGCCGCCCACATGGTGACTGAGAAGGCAGAAATGAAACTTAATTTAACAGCTTCACAGAAAGAACCGGCGCAGCCCGTCAGCCCCCATCCCCAACCCAGCTCAGCCTGTCAGCTCCCAGGCCCAACCCAGCTCAGCCTGTCAGCCCCCAGGCCCAACCCAGCTCAGCCTGTCAGCTCCCAGGCCCAACCCAGCTCAGCCCGTCAGCCCCCATCCCCAACCCAGCTCAGCCTGTCAGCTCCCAGGCCCAACCCAGCTCAGCCTGTCAGCCCCCAGGCCCAACCCAGCTCAGCCTGTCAGCCCCCATCCCCAACCCAGCTCAGCCTGTCAGCTCCCAGGCCCAACCCAGCTCAGCCTGTCAGCCCCCAGGCCCAACCCAGCTCAGCCTGTCAGCTCCCAGGCCCAACCCAGCTCAGCCTGTCAGCCCCCAGGCCCAACCCAGCTCAGCCTGTCAGCCCCCAGGCCCAACCCAGCTCAGCCTGTCAGCTCCCAGGCCCAACCCAGCTCAGCCTGTCAGCTCCCAGGCCCAACCCAGCTCAGCCTGTCAGCCCCCATCCCCAACCCAGCTCAGCCTGTCAGGGCAGGCCCAACCCAGCTCAGCCCGTCAGCCCCCATCCCCAACCCAGCTCAGCCTGTCAGCTCAGCCCCAACCCAGCTCAGCCCGTCAGCTCAGCCCCAACCCAGCTCAGCCCGTCAGCCCCAGCCCAACCCAGCTCAGCCTGTCAGCCCCCATCCCCAACCCAGCTCAGCCTGTCAGCCCCCATCCCCAACCCAGCTCAGCCCGTCAGCCCCCATCCCCAACCCAGCTCAGCCCGTCAGCCCCCATCCCCAACCCAGCTCAGCCTGTCAGCTCAGCCCCAACCCAGCTCAGCCTGTCAGCTCAGCCCCAACCCAGCTCAGCCTGTCAGCTCAGCCCCAACCCAGCTCAGCCTGTCAGCTCCCATCCCCAACCCAGCTCAGCCCGTCAGCCCCCATCCCCAACCCAGCTCAGCCGTCAGCCCCATCCCCAACCCAGCTCAGCCTGTCAGCCCCCATCCCCAACCCAGCTCAGCCTGTCAGCCCCCATCCCCAACCCAGCTCAGCCTGTCAGCCCTATTCCCAACCCAGCTCAGCCTGTCAGCCCCCATCCCCAACCCAGCTCAGCCTGTCAGCCCCCATCCCCAACCCAGCTCAGCGCATCAGCCCCCAGGCCCAACCCAGCTCAGCCTGTCAGCCCCCATCCCCAACCCAGCTCAGCCTGTCAGCCCCCATCCCCAACCCAGCTCAGCGCATCAGCCCCCAGGCCCAACCCAGCTCAGCCTGTCAGCCCCCATCCCCAACCCAGCTCAGCCCGTCAGCCCCCATCCCCAACCCAGCTCAGCGCATCAGCCCCCAGGCCCAACCCAGCTCAGCCTGTCAGCTCAGCCCCAACCCCAGTGTCACCTGAGCCTCAGCACTCAGTGTCAATGTCAGTGTCAGTGTCAACCTGTCAGTGTCAGTGTTGGTGTCAGCGGTCAGTAGGTCGATTGGTGGATCGCTTTCCAGGGGAAATAATCCCTTCAAAAAACAATTGTTCACTCAATCCACGACTGTGTGTGAGACGCTGCTGTGTGCAATTGGCTGCCGCGTTTTTTCCACAAAATATACAGTCACTATATTTTACAGTATATCGTGTGAAGCGCTTTGAGACGTCTCAACGACTTGATAAGGCGCTGTATCAAATGCAAGAATTATTATTTTTTAATATCCTCACACCGTGCGAGTTAGTGTGTGTGCGTTGGTATGTTTGTGAGTGTGTGTATTGGTGTGTATATGTGTTGTATTTTGAGTGCGTGTGTGAATGTCTGCGTATTGGTGTGTGAGTATGTGTATTGGTGTATGTGTAGGTGTGTGAGGTTGTCTTGGTGTCTGTCTGTTAGTGTGTGTGTATGTGTGTGGGAATGTGTGTGTGTTGGTGTCAGCGCTTTGGGAAATCCTCCCGACGTGAAAGGTGCTCTATAAATGTAATCTTGTTGTTGTCTGTGTGTGTGAATGAGTGTGTGTGAACGTCTGTGAGTGTGTGTTGCTATCAGTGTGAGTATATTGATTAATGAGCTGAGGTTGTGACAGACAATTAGCTGATGTCAGTCACATCACATCCCCAACACTGTCACACATCACATAGTGACTGCACATTTGTGGGTGAAATGTGGCAGCCAATGGTGCACAGCATCTCACAAACAGCTGTGGATTGAGTGACCACTGATACCACTGTCCGGCAGCTTTCCCGCTGCTTGTCCAGCTCGGACCTCCCTCCCCATTAGTTAGGGCTTTGGCTGTGGGGTTACCAGGAGCTGAGGGGAGGATTCCCGGCCCCCAGTGACCCCTGGTCTGTCCTTCCAGGCCCTGTGGTGAGCCGGGCCGGGCTGTGCTGCCATCAGCAGTGAGTGCCCTGGAATCCCGCGGCCCCTCCCGGCTCAGGAACCGGCCGAGAGACCGGCACAGAGGGGGGGCCTTGATTCCCACGTTCCACTGTCAAACATGTCACCGTGGGGCCAGTTCAGCTCCTCCAAAAAAATGGTTCCCTGTCCAGTCAGGAGTCTGAGGGGAGCTTTACCCCGTCACTCGCCAACTGCACACACGTCAGTCTCCCTCCCTCCATGTACACACACATCAGCAAAATCTCAACACAGTCAGCAAAACGTCCACATAAAACTCCAACAATGGCTGAAAACACCCTCCCAAATGCCACTGATAAACACACAAACCAGATGCACTGGCCATACAGCGTTGAGGATCACAAACTCAGTGCTCGGGGTAAAGTGTCAGCTCAGCCCTGCACTGTCAGCCTGGACTGGGAGCTCACTCAATACAGCCTTGATATGGGGCTCAAACCCCCGACCCCCAATCTTCTGACTCCAGCCAAGAATACAACCAACTGAGTTTCTGTAAAATGCAGGATTTCTGTAATTAATGTGTTAAATAAGCTCTCAACTTCTCTTAGCAATGTTAATATATATATTTGAGACATGTGGTCATCTCCTATGAGGAGAGTTGGTTGTGACGAGCTTCAAAGAAGATTCTTGCTGAAGGAGGAGAAACAAAAGACTCTTTATAAACAATAACTGTTCTCATTCCTTGTCAGTCATTTCCTCATGGAGACTGGTCTGCAGCTGGAGAGAGAGAGAGCTGTGTGGCATTTCCTTTTACATAGGAACCATCTTACAAAAGACAACAGGTGAAGGTCACCTAATCAACAGTATAAACGGAGATCGATTCGAAAAGAGAAAGAAGAGATGGGAACTTGGAGTCGTGAACCATATTCCAGTTTCTAAAGAAGGAAGATCCAGACTACGATTTCAACAACTCTAACCGTACAATAATACCCGGATACCTTTGGGTAATAGCGAACTGGGAACCGTACAATAATACCCGATACCTTTGGGTAATAGGGAACTGGGAACCGTACAATAATACCCGATACCTTTGGGTAATAGGGAACTGGGAACCGTACAATAATACCCGGATACCTTTGGGTAATAGGGAACTGGGAACCGTACAATAATATCCGGATACCTTTGGGTAATAGGGAACTGGGAACCGTACAATAATACCCGATACCTTTGGGTAATAGGGAACTGGGAACCGTACAAGGGTGGAGGGGGAGGAGCCAGATGGAGGGGGAGGAGCCAGGGGAGGGGGAGGCAGGGGGAGGAGCCAGGAGAGGGAGGAGCCAGGAGAGGGGAGGAGCCAGGGGAGGGGGAGGAGCCAATGGGCGGGAGGAGCCAGGGGAGGGGAGGAGCCAGGGGGAGTGGGAGGAGCTAAGGGGAGGGGGAGGAGCCAGGGGAGGGGGAGGGGGCGAAGGTGACCAATGTCGCAGCAGAAAAAAAAGGTCTTCAGCCGAGACCTGAGAATGGGAAGAGAGGGGGTGAGGGGAAGGGAGTGAGGGAGGGAGTTCCACAGCCTCGGGACGCAGTGGCTGAAGGCACAGCCACCGATGGGGGAGCGGAGGCCTCGGGGGACGAGGAGGAGGTCAGACCTGAGGAACGAAGGCAATGGGCACTGTTGTGAGGAGAGAGGAGGTCAGAGAGGTCGGAGGGGCAGAGGAGTGGAGGGATTTGAAGACAAGAGTGAGGATCTTGAAGTGGATCCTCTCCGGGACAGGAGCCGGTGCAGTCTCACCAGGACTGGGGGGATCGGGGAGAGGGGTTTGGGTGTGGGGGGGAGGGCCAGGACTGGGGGGATCGGGGAATGGGGTTTGGGTGTGGGGGGGAGGGCCAGGACTGGGGGGGATCGGGGAGAGGGGTTTGGGTGTGGGGGGGAGGGCCAGGACTGGGGGGATTGGGGAGTGGGGTTTGGGTGTGGGGGGGAGGGCCAGGACTGGGGGGATCGGGGAGTGGGGTTTGGGTGTGGGGGGGAGGGCCAGGACTGGGGGGATCGGGGAGAGGGGTTTGGTGCGGGTGAGAATGCGGGCGGCAGAGGTTTGAATGATCTGCATTTTATGGATGGCAGTGGAGGGGAGGCCGGAGGTGGAAAAATAGAGTTGGGTGTCGTCCGCATACATGTGGAAATGTACCCCATGTACCCCATCCCCAAGAGGGGGCATATAGATCAGAAAGAGGAGGGGGCCAAGGATGGATCCTTGGGGTACCCGCAGGTGACCGGGTGAGAGGGGGAGGGAGAAGCCGTTTGTGCAGATGTACTGCTGGCGGTTTGTGAGGTAGGACTCGAACCGGGCGAGTGCGGTCCCACTGAGGTGGATGATGGAGGAAAGGCGGTGGAGGAGGATGGAGTGATCGACTGTGTCGAACGTGGCGGAGAGGTCCAGGAGGACAAGGAGGCAGAGGGAGCCCCGGTCACAGATAGAGAGGATGTCGTTTGTGACTTTCACAAGCGTAGTCTCTGTACTGTCCGGTGGGCGGAAACCGGACTGGAGGGGTTCGAAGAGGGAGTGGGAGGAGAGGTGTGTGCGGAGTTGG